GGTACATTTGGTTAAATTTGTACGATTTATTAATAAAATAATATATAATATTGTTAATATTATATATTCTGATAAATTTTTACTATAATTATGATCTTTACTAGTTACTTTATTGCTTTCTAACATGAAATTAATGAATGATTATTATTATATTCAAAAACATATAACTTACTATACTATACAGTAGTAACTATAGAATACTATAAAATATACGTGAAAAATATTGTAGTGATTGAGTGAAATATTTATACATTCTATAAGTTTATTGCTATAAATATACTATAAATTATTTTAATTAATTAATTAATTACATACTGTATCTAATAAAGTTTAATTTTATTTTGAAAACAGTTAATTAAACTAGAATTAGATTATGATTTAGAATTTAGTAGCATCATATTGAATTACTGTATTACAAAATTCTGAAGTTTTTATATTAATTTTTGATAATAATATAAGAGTTATGGTATAATGTAAGATATTAATTAAACATATAGGAATTACGAAATTTAGCCCGTTGAATTGCTAATAATAATCATTAATACATTTATTACAAAGGTTTGTTTATTTTTATTTATAAATATAAGTGGAAGTTGACACTATAAATTCACTTAGTATTAGATTAAGTCTATTCAATGAGTCTAAATAAAAGATTTTCCCCAATTTGTAGATCAAAACTATTAAAGTAAAAATATATGAAGTTAATCACAAATTTTCTCAATACGTCCTATTAATATTGAAAAATTATAGACTCTGGACAGTTGAGTATTCAATGGAAAGATCGGGATTCCTATAGGGGCTGAGATTATCTTTATATTGTCCTAACATTTCTTCCATACATTTATTCTTTCTGTGTTTTCGTGTTTTTTCTTTATATAATATATATTATTTTTAATTAAATAATAAATTATTTAAATCAAAAATATGTTTATAAATTATTAATTAAAGTAATTTAGTTTTTTCGTTGAAGATTTATTTGAAAATCTAAAAATTCTAAATCACTGATAATTTAACCTTATCGATAAATTCTAACTTACCGGTATATAATATTGATTATACAAATATACAAATTTGTAAATTTATAAGGCATTTTTCCTATATACCGGTATTTGTAAGCACCTTAAATAAGAATATATTCTGTAATTTTATATTTCGTAACTTATTTTTAGACAATTGTAAATTAAAGATTAAAATTCCTTAACTTTATTTAAATTTAATTTCAAAACAGATGGCCAATATTGAAGAGTCAAGAGGACAAAATATTCGCTTTAAATATAATCGGTCTAAATAATATCATCACTATTCGTAAAACTTTTGGTAAATTATTTAATTTTTACACGAGAGAGAGAGAATTTTATTGAAATTTTCTTATAATCTAATAATAATTATTTCTTTTATTTAAAGATAAGCCGCGGTTAGGGATCCTTAATACGAATGGAGAGTGTTATGGATTCATATTTGTTGACTATTTATGGTTTTTGAGACAACTCAGAGATATAATTGATGATCACCTCAAAGAGATAGGTTTAAAGAATAAGTTAATAGATTATACATTCATTGAGAGAAATGGATGGCCAGTGGCTACTAACCAGGAGCGCATGCTATCAGTTTGGGATATTATAGTTAATCAAAACATATACATCAGAAGCGGTTCCATAAAACTTTCAAATATAGTCTCAAATGGAGACATGAATAGACCCATTGATGATATGCCACAATCAAAGCTTATGACAATCAATGGCAGTAAACCACAGGCCAATGAAGACTTACAACAAGTTAGTTATTATACTACCGGTATGAATACATACAAATCCGTGGATTTGGTACAAGCCGACTCAACCGGAGTTATTTCTCCCGATAAGAACTCCAAAAACAAATCATTTAAAAAGGGTTTTAATGTTAGGTATAATTTGAAACTTTTATATTATTCTAATTTTAATCTTTAAAATTAATTATTCATTTGCTTTAATATATCATTTATTGATAGTATCAGACAAACACAGACACAAACTCGAGTGAAAAGTAAAGTGGTTCGGATTAAATCAAAGGATTTATTAACACCTAGCAAGGGATGGGTTATGTTATCCTATTGTCGACAAGAAGCGGCTCAACACGCAATTGATTTAAAACAAAAATTGAGACAATTGGGATTCAGTGTATACTTGGTACTACTTTTTATTTCTTAACACCTAGCAAGGGATGGGTTATGTTATCCTATTGTCGACAAGAAGCGGCTCAACACGCAATTGATTTAAAACAAAAATTGAGACAATTGGGATTCAGTGTATACTTGGTACTACTTTTTATTTCATTGTATAAACTTACCATAAGTTTCCATTTGATCACATGGTTTTATTAACCCTTTTAATTACATTACCCATACAGTAGTTGACTAAAATTCTAATAAGTTTAAAACAATCCTATAATCCTAGTTAACTGTAATTTATTTTTAAAAATAAATAATTAACTCTAATTACTAATTACTATTATATACAGTATCTAATTGATGATATATCATAATTAACTTTAACTAATTAAAATTTGACTGTAATTCATGTGAAATTTTAAAAAATGATATGAATTTGTGTACTGAATAGGATGTACACGAAATCCAAACGGGCAGTGATTGGCAGGACTCACTCAATGAAGCGGTCAGAGGATGTAAAGTGTTTGTACCACTCGTGACACCCATGTATGGCATGACTCAGTGGACTAATAGAGAAGTTTGCAAATTATTTAGCAATCCATTATAATTTATTAATAATTGTGATAATCTTTTCATCTTGGCAACACAGATTAAACTGGCTGACATTTTAAATAAAGAAATAATTCCTATAAATTTTCTGGGTATTTGTATATTTGATATTTTATAATAATCCTATTGTGGGATAAACTCTAATATAATAAAATATTAAAATTTTGATTAGACACCTGGCCACCGGATTGTTTAGCCATACAGTTCGCAACAACTCAGTTAGTATCCAATTGATTGGACTCTTTACAGAAATGAATAATCAATTTGATATGACTTGAACTCTAGGTATATTCCGTGTCGACCCATAGGTACTGAACATACAGGTATGAATTATATTTGATTTGAAAAAGTTTTACAATTATTGAATGAATCGGTTTATATGGACAGAGGGTCCAACTGAGAAGATTGATTTGGTGAAGTCGTGGCACGAAAAGCATAGGGAATGGGTTTCACAACTCATATCAGAACAGATTGAGAAGAAGAAATTGTTTCATTCCGAACAAATCAAAGCACTTCCGGCACCACAAAGAGCACTGGAAATGATTGACGGACCCAAGGAGTCGGACGATGATAAGCCATTGATTGTAATCGTCGCACATCCCCAACAAAACACTGTCGTCTCTCAGATTAAATCATATTTTTCTGATGAATACAACGTCTGGTGCTCTACTGATCTCCCCGATGGAAGTCTTATTGATGAAGATTTGACTAACAATTCTCCGCCTTTTACTCCAAACCATTTGGCGACCATTGATGAGGGATCGGAGACTGATGGCAATGTCTTCACTGATGGCAATGAGTACAAAGATCTTCAAAATCTCGCTCGAAATATCATAGAAACGAAGAGAAATAACAAACAGCGCCCGAAATCCCTGCCCCCCAATGCGGACCTTACTATCGAACCCAAGAGACCATTAACTCGAATGGCATCCCAATCCAGTGAAACGAATCATTTATCTTCACTAACACCTGAAAAAGTGGATCGAATGAAGATATTTCAGGAACAGATCAACTCTGCCGGAGTAGTCATCATAATCTGCTCCGAAGCCTATTATAAGTCGAGAACATCTCAACAACTGATCTTTTATTGTGAACACCGAAAGAAAATGATTTTAATTCGTTGTGATGTGAACTCCACTTCAATCCCCCAATGGTTCTCAAATCTGGTTAAAGAGAACGGAACTCTTGTCAGTTAACTATTATATTCTCATAATATTATGAATTTCTTTTAATCATTGTATACGACATGTACAGCACGTGAATAATCCGCGTTTCGATGAATTACTTAAATCTCGAGTCAAGAGAACACTCGACCCGTCGATCAAAG